GAGAAAAAGAGAAAATAACACTTCAAAAATATAAAGTTCTGCTGGAAATAAAAATCTTTTGGTGTTGATTTATGACATTCTAGAGGTTATACAAGAGAAATATGAGAACCTTTAGATGAAAAAATGTTATTTTATTATTAACACGAAAATCATCTTGCACGCAGACTGACTCCTTAAATTCACAGACAAATATTTTATTAAAATATGTTATTTTTTATGTACAACAAACTTGTAATGTTTACTAAAAGCTTGCCAAGTTTTGTTGAGATACAGTTAGCAGATTAAGAAGTCTAGTAAACATAGCTATGTATAGTTTCACAGAAAACAGGGTTGGTGCAAAGCAGCAACACTATTCTCTTGGGATAATAGTAAATGTACTGGCCTGCAGTCCTCAACTTGAGCTGGGTGATCAGCTGAATTTGACAGTTGATTAATTGTTGGACTCATTGATCCAAAACAGTAATAATCAGAAACTAATTCTGATAAGATGACTGTTTTTGTGAGTCATTACACTAATCTCTTAAGCTTATCCACCTTGACTTAACTGAAAATAATAAGAAATCATACTGCAATACTTCAATTACTTGAATAGATGAGGACACTAATTTTCTTTATATTAATTGACTTAAGTGTAACTTCAATTATTTGATTATTTTCATGACATCAATAAATGCTCATAGGTAATTAATTAACTGAGTTAACCACCCAGCTCTATCATCAACCTATATTAAAACCCTTGGTGATGATCTTAACTTTTTACTAAAGGACACCTGATGATTAGACAGAAATATTAAACATGTAACCAAACCTACTAACAAATTTAAAACATTCTTGCTTTGATGGCAAAAGTTCTAATGAATAGAGATTAATAACACTTAGTATTTATGGCTGTATTTAGAAAGCATTTGAAATTTTGCCCTGATGAAGTGATAAAAGTTGAGCAAAAAAAGTTGAAGTAAAAAAGACATTTCTTAAACAGATGATATGTACTTTTAATAAACTAACAATATTATTCAGAGTTTGATAAAGACACTTGGAAGTTATCATGACTAAATGAATATTAATACACTGAAAGACTGAAATTAGCACAATTATTGAACATGAATATACAATATACCAAAAACAAATGTATTAGAACTTCAAAGATTAAAATGTAAAAGAGATTTAATGTGCTTATAAAGATTTATTAAATTTCAAGACTGGAACTAAAAACTTTGTTGACTTTTATCAAATGAAAATGCTTAAATTTTGAATACTGTAAACTATGTAATGGACTCATTTTAGATACATAATGAAATTAGCTAAAATAAAATAAACTTGCCTGTTCCACCAGCAATCATCCCAACATTTCTTACAGTACACTCACTTGGTGGAGACTTTTTGTCTGGTTTAATGGCAAATGTTCCTTAAAATAATCACATAAAAACATGTTCAAAGTCAAAACTATACTGTATTTTTAAAATGTTATAATAGTTAATATTTTCTCATACACTAAAATTTTGTTGTATACATTCAATAATTGTATTTTGAGGGCTCTTGATTAATTTGATAACATTCTATCTTTTGTATTTGTTTTTTGTGTTAGAATCTGATATCAATGAAGAAATTTATAACTCTAAACAGTATATTTTTAGGAACTCTGTTTTAAAATGTGGACACAAAGAAGCATAAGATATGAAAAGAAATGGATATACAGATTAACCCATTAACTTTCTTCTAAAGGACATCTAATAAGATAAGTATTCAACATGCATACAAACAGAGTAACAAATTTAAAATATTTTTGCTTTGAGGCCAAAAGTACTAATAAATAGAGATTAATAACATTCAGTATTTATGGCTGCTAAAACTTCTGGTTATATTCTTATTAAATTTTTTTTAGAAATTTCCACAGAAGTGAGGAAAAATTTTATCACGATAAACAAGATGTCTGAGAAACGAACTAATATAAATAGAGTTAATTGATTTAACCTAGTTTTAATTATTAGTTTGCCTAACAATATATATTGTTGTTGTATATACACATAAGACTGTCAGTATTATCATAAATCCTTTAAAGACAAATCTGGTAGTGAGATCGAGCTAACCTTTAAACTCAAGGAATCCTGACCGACTACCTTGACCTACATATATAGATTAAACCAATATCATCACTAATAATTACATGACTTGTATTTACCTCGACCCATATATTCAATGAGTCCTGAAGGACCTCGAATGTCAATTAAATCTCCAATGTTCATGTTATCCAAGTACTGTGACATCTTACCACCATCAGGATACTTTGGGTTTACATTCTTAAAATACACCTGATGAGAGACATTCACTGTTTATTATGATTTATCTAACATCACATGGTCCTATTTCTAGTTTATGTTTTAATTAGAACTAAAACCTTAAGATAAATATCATCCTATACCAAAAATCATCTAGCAACAGATATGATAACATTTGGCACAGTGAAAGTGTGCAAAGCTTCAGGTCCCATAAAAAAAATGTGTCTAATTTATCAAAATCACTATGATAAATGTGATGCAGCTTGGTTTCCACTTTTGATGAGGAGGAATCCACTTTCAGACAATAAAGTTTGAAGACAGTTTGAAAGGCTAATGAAGGAAAGTTTCTTACAAGTTTAACAATAACAAATAATGATCAAGACAGTGACCTCTGTATCAATATTCTTTTATTTTTTTAAGTAAAATGTGATCGCTAACAAAATCATGATTGTGCATCAATTTATAAAAAAATTAAATAATAGGTTGAACAATCGCCAAGTTTTTTAATATTTTTTATTAAAAGAAGGATGACGTTTGATGATTGCTCAACCTATTATTTAATTTTATTTTCATTGCCTATGCAGTTTTAACTATATTTGTGCATTAATTATGTCAACACTTATAACCACAGAATGTAGATCATTAGTATCCTAGCACAGCCTCACCTGCCAATCACTCTATGTAACTAAGTGGGTTTTCAGCTAGCAGTCACAAGTTGAGAGGAGATGGGTTATCTTTTCATAAGTTCGTATGTGGGTTTGGTCAAAATGACCAACCTTATAACACCTATTGCTTTTTACTGTCAGCTGCAATGAAACTTAGTCCTAATTTTTGTAATGATAATAGTAATACATAATATAATTCTTATTTATTTCAAATATAGAGCTTAGAACACAAAATTATAAGAAGCACAAAGAAAGTAATGTCCTATAACTAGTATAAACATTCTGGTTTTCTAACTAAGTTATAAATGTGTTAAAAAATTCACTTACCTGGTCGACCTGAACTAGTTGATAGCAACATTGAATCTGTAGGCTAAATAATTTAAACACCGTCATCAGAACGAGCTAGCTTTATATGGAAATAAGTAAATTAAAATCTTGTCTTTCTATTGGTTATAAATAATCCAAGAGCAAATGTCAGAAAGAGAGAATTATTGACATTTCGTGAAAGATGAAATGTAATAAGTAATTTATGAGGTGATGTATAATTTATATTTAATTCAGGACATCATATAGGGGTGGTGAGAAGATCAAAAATGGAAAATTCATAGCACTGAAGTATCACGATACAGACAAATGAGTATTTATTTAAATATTTTCTTTTGAAATAAAATCAAAACTTGTATAATATTCAAATTTTATTTATTTACTATGTTTTGATGCTAAGTTTATTGATATACATTGATAATAAATTGTAATTCTGTAAAAAAATCTGGACATGTGCACTTTGACTACCTCCATGTCCAGTTATGGAGAAAAACAGCAAAATATGATCTGTGCTAACTTCTTTCAAATTGACAGTGTGGGCTCATTTAAGGTTTGTTTGCATAAAGGACTTGCTTCATATTCTTGATAAGAGTAATGCTGTTTGTAAAATGTATAAAGCTTGAATCCAGTGTTCAGGTAATACAACCAATATAAGTTTGAATATGAAACAACATCATCAGACTGATGGAACATCACTAAAGACAGCAACAGGAGATCTGCATGCAAGGGAAAGTGACACATTAATATAGTCAACCTACAATAGAAACATTAAATCATTCAAAATTATCTATGATGTCTGTATGTGCTAAAGATATTATCAAGTATATAGTGCATTATATTTGCAAAGATGTGTGTCCATTTTGTTCTATGTAAAATAAATGTTTTTGAAAAATTATAAGTACTTTGGTATACTCTGTCTACCTGTTGTTACTTAACTGAAAATTCTGTTCCTGAATTATACCAGTATGCTAAAGAACAGGTCATGCAAGTGTTTTTTGCAGCAGAGAGGGTAGCACTCACAGGTGACAGAATCATATTTGTCCAATTACATGTCATCCCTTATTGGCAGATTGAGAACTGGTCTCGCACATCTTGCAGACAAGTGTTTTGTTGGAAAGCTCATATCAGCTATCAAGGAATGGAACATTACAGATAAGGACCCTACATTAGTGACTGACAATGCCTCCAACATGAAAACTGGTGGCTAATACGGCACACATTAAGTGCTTTGCACATAGTTTGAATTTGGCATCTCAGTTTGTATTGAAAATGCTTTCTATAACTTGCTTACTAGGTAGAGTTATGTAAATTTTAAACTTTTGCAGATGAAACATGACAGTCAGTTAACATGTTGAAAGAGAAGCAAAAACTGTTAGGCTTACTGGAGTACAAACTGAAAACCAATATTGTTACCACATGGAAGATGATTTAAAGGTTTGTGGAGCAGCAACCAACTGTATATGCCACACTGTTCTCAAAGGAAATTACAAATGACACACCTGTGCAGAAAACATTTTCAATGTGCTAAGTGCACGGAAGGTTGCCACAACTGTTATGTCCAAGGAGAAAATCTCCACATTATCAATTATGGCATCACTGCATGTCCAACTCCTACAGAATGCACAGAGCAACAATTATGACTCGGCACTTGTTAAGGGCATTAAGGACACAATAGCAGAAGATCCAGAAAAGATATATATAAAAATGAGGACATTCTGTGTATTGCTTTTGACCTTGATCCTCACTTCAAAGCTTTCCTTTTCAGAGCCTGACAGTGTGGACATTTGTGCAAAAATGAGTGCTGAAGCTGCAGGGCTGTGGGAGTCTCAGAATCAGTTTAGGTTAACATATTACTCAGAGCTTACATGTAGTTTTGTATAGTAAAAAATAAACTATATATATGTACTATACAACTGATATTTTATATAGTAAGGTTTATGTTTTCATAAACTTTTAAGGATACATCTACATAGTTTGGAACAATGTGGTTCATACCTTGATATTTATGAAACTGTTCTGTATTTAAGTAAAGCAATTTTAAAAAATGTTAAATAACACAAGTTTTTTTTCTTGGTGTTTGCTTTTCAACAGCAAGTGAATTTCCACGGCATTGAGCCAGAGCTCAAACAGCCTGGAAAAACCCACTTTATCAAGCAAGAAGGACTTACCCTAGACTTACAGTGAACCCACATCAATCCAATCATGGTGATCCTGTTGAATAGGTCTATCCTGCTTCCATTGTAAAAAAAAAAAGAAGAATGCAAGACTCTGTTTCTTGTGTACTTGCAGATTTGTTCGAAGATACATTTGTTTTTGAAGCATTTGAGTCACTGAAATCATGTTTAGAAAAAGCAGAGAGTGAGGTCATAAAATATAAAGAGGCAGAACCTTTACCTCTGGATGAAATTCCATTTACCTGATGGAAGATTCATGAGGTGGAAAATCCATGGTTAGATAAGTCTGCAAAGTATTACCTACTTATCCCAGGTAATTTTATGTTTAATGGCAAATTGTGTCCAAGTGTAAATTATTTTTGAATTTCTTTCAGGAATAAATTGTAAACTGCAGTGTAATGTTGTATTGTTGCTTGGTTTGTTAGTGTTAACATTATTCATGGGTTGAGTTTTGAGTTTTTTTTTGTTGTGATGGTTGTGTGAAAATATTTCCACAATAACTTTTGAAAATATGTTAGCGTGAATGAAGGAATGCTTTATAAAGTTTATTTCTTCCCCTGTATAATCTATTGGGAAGAGTCTTGAAGTTGTATATAAAAGGTTTTTAATGTATCGATTTTTGTTTGGTTTCATGAGTAGAATTTCCTGGGTGCCAAGATACATTTACTAAGCTGTTAAGCAATTTTTCGTCATGCTGCATCTTTCTTCCATACTATGTATATATATATTACTACGTCTAAGTAAACTAATTGCACCTGATGATGAAGAAACCTAGTTGAAACATTGTATATTTTTTACCTGATGATGAAGAAACCTAGTTGAAACATTGTATATTTTTTACAATGTTAAACTTGTAATAAAGTTTTCTTTATTACCCATTCAAGCCGTCTCCAAACTTTATCGGTTTCCACTTGTTTGTTCTACACGTTTACACATACGGTGCTGTGTGTACTTTTAAGTCACTGTGTAGAATGAAATTTTTACCTTTTGAGGATCTTTATCCCCCTGTTCATGGAAAGTCTTGTAAAAAACAAAGACAAGGTATATCAACAACTATGAAATACCAGCAGTGGAATTTATTCAACGCTATACCCCAGCTTTTATCTACTGAAGAAGTATTCAAACCAAAGTCAAATCTTAAACTGAAAATCAAGTGAAGATGGGTGTATTAGAATATACTGATTTGCACTCTCAGTTAATTAGTATAACACTGTTTACAGTTTTTTTTCTTCTATCATTCATATGCCAAAATAAAACTTTTAAGCAAAATCACGACATTTCAATATAAAACAAAATGAAAGTTTTTCTTTCCTGCTGAACATAACTTTATATTTTTACTGAAAAAAAAAATACAATAACAGGTTTTAAAAGAAAACTATGTTCTAAAGTCTCAAATTGACATGTTAGCACAAATCTTCCTGTCTCAAAGGAAGACAATAGGAGGCTAAACAACTTACTTTTATCACCAAGTCGATGTACCCCTTTTCATCATCACTGGACACGGGGGTGTAAGGTCGAACACAAAGGTTCCCATTAATTCTGGCACTTAAATAAATGTGTTGGCCTAAAACATATATTAATATTTAGGTGAATGTAAAGCTCACATTTTAAATTTTAACACATTTCTAGTCTTCAAATCTTAGCAAAATAAATCACTGAATTCTAATAAAGATGAAAGAAAAAAAAAGACTTCATTTAATTAACATGACTGATTTTATATGCAAGTAATATGTAAGTATTTAAGTACTACATTACAGAAAGCTTGAAAAGTCTTGTTTACAAAAGAAAAAGATGTACAATAGGGTGGTACAAAAGTATAAAAAGGAAAAATTATTCTGCATGATGTTTGCCTATATATATTCCACTGCCACTAACGATGTTAGAAATAAAAAACTGGATTGATTCATGTATATTTAAAAGTGGTGCAATTTGAACACTTCAGTATCATTATGGTTTTTATTCAGTAACAAAAACAAAGCTGCAAAAATCACTAGCAAACTGAATGAAATACTTAATAGTTTTCTGTGTATCAGAATAGCATATAACTATAATAATAATAATAATACAACAATTTATCATATTCTGGGGGTCAGAAGTGTATTTTGTTTTGTATTTTGCACAAATCTCACAAGGGCTATCTGCACTAGCCGTCCCTAATTTAGCAGTGTAAGACTAGAGGGAAGGCAGCTAGTCATCACCACCCACCGCCAACTCTTGGGCTACTCTTTTACCAATGAATAGCGGGATTGACCGTCACATTATAAGGCCCCCACGGCTGAAAGGGTGAGCATGTTTGGTGTGATGGGGATTCGAACCCGCGACCTGCAGATTGCGAGCTGAGTGCCCTAACCACCTGGCCATGCCGGGCCAGAAATGTATTTTAGTGTAGTTTAACTGGGTGGAGAAGGTATTGCTTTTGATCTTTGTTTTTAGTGATAGAAGAATTAAATGCTTGAATCGGAGCAATACCTCTCTCTGCACAGTCATTTACCACTTTCAATCCAGCAGCTGCCTTCTGCATTTCTTTGTATTCCAGAATCCCTTTCCAGTTTGTTGGGCCTTTGCTTTTTCTTTCCTATTTAAATTTAAGACATTGACTATGTTAAAAGTACTCTTTGTTATATAGGATTGCAAAGAAGCCTTGATATTAAATTTCTTCTCTTGCCGAGATTCTTCACCATTTCATGTTTAATAGTTATCTGAACTCTGTTGTCAAACAGAGCCAAAACAACTAAGTCTTCTAATAAATACCATAAGTGCTATTTGAAGCTTGTCACTGCAGCATCGCCAACTGAATGATCTAGATATGCAAATAACTTTACTATCATGCTGAAGTCATTGAAGGTTACAGCCATTGTTATAGGACCTTCATTCCAGTAGCAAGTATAGACCATGGCTATGAAAAGGCATGCTTGTGTCAAGACCTTGATTTCTTGATCAGTCAGTTTGAACTGTTCTTGAAAGAGAAATATTTTGATAGCATATATGGCTTTAGCCATCCAATGTGCACGATGATATGGCGCGATGCTGGATTGCTGCCTCTTAAATTTAGAAACTACATGGTACATGACCCAATTCTATTGAGTTATAAAATACTGTACATAATAATGTAACAAACTTATGAGATCATGCAAAAGTATCATTATATGCCAACTGATAAACAAAGAGGAATTAAGAAAATTAACTGGAGAAGTAAACTTGTGGCAAATTTCTTTAAATTTGAACCACCCTTAAATATTGATGTACTTAGTTCAAAATTCAATCTGAGGTCTGTCTCCATATAAGGAATGAAAAATGCATCAGGAAGTCTCAGTTGTACCTTTTCATTTTTTACAATATATGTGTGTGGACCACCCTAATGTACAAAGACAGAAAAGGAGACTAAAACACATGGACGTAAACAAAAAACTAAATCTTACTTTAACACAGGGAAAGATGTTTGTTGTTTATAACTACACTGACAAGCCAACTTATTACTTTTGGTGTTTGAACTTTCTGATACTGAAGAGAGTAATGACATTTAGAATTTGTCTATGTTACGATTTCAATTCAGAACACATCCTAATGTGATATCTCATAATACTAGATTACTTATGTTAGTAATTATTGTTACACATATCCAAAAACAGATCCTCTTCCCTTGGGTGTGGGTTATAACCAAATGGAAGGAGGGTTTGTACACATAAGTAAAAGCTGAGAGTTGATCTTCCTTTAAGCTCTTTTGAATGATCACTGTAGTATTTAATCTTACACTTAGATGAGGATTAAAACAATTTCACAACTACTTATATTATATTCACAAGGATATTAGCTAAATACACAACATCTGCACTAAAGTTTCTTGAAAATTTTCCTAAATATATCCAAATAGATTTTAGTTCTGCCTATACTTTGGAAATTTTTAATTACAATATTTATTTTGCCTTAGTTTAAGTTTAGAAATTTAAGACATGCTACACAATAGACTATACTCTGACCTGCATTTACATAACACCCAAATTTTCATCAAAGATAGATATATAAAACAGAAGTGTTACAAACAATTTTAAACCATGCATCATTTAACACAAAAAGTTTTCAAACTAAAACTCAGTGTAACCGGTCTCACAAGGATGCAGAAGGTCATTCTGCATGATTCTGATGTTGTACATAAACTTGTTTCTACATCAAAGCAGCTGCATTTTTTAAACATGCATGTATGATTTTCATATTGTAGGTAGACTAGTTTCTAAATTAAGACAGCTATACTTTTCTAAAGATGTTGATAATTGATATGGCAAAAATGATTTCACTTTGTCAAGTTTTTAGTTTGCGAGATGAAAAACAAAAAATAGTGGCTTGGGTTAATAAAGATTATAACACTTCGAGAATATATGTAAATCTAATGAATTTAATTTCAGCACTGTATCTTTTATTAGAATCTGGCCATGTAACAGATTGATCTTCATTGCTGTTCTTAATGAACTGAAACTGATGAAAAATGACTATGAATCATGACATCGAATTTTAAGATTCGACACTTTTAACAAGTATTAATTACACATTCATGCACACACACATAAATATATATATTGTACTAGCAGAGACCTGCAAAAAATTTGTGGTCAAATTAGTATCTTTATTGTAAAAAGTAGTTTATTAAATACAGGGTTTCTAGAAATATACAAAAGAACTCTAATCACATACACTGAAATCTACAAGTCCACTTGTCTTAGGCCTAACGTTAATTAAGCCTTCACTAAGAATAGCCTATAATTGATAAAGAGATAAATTAACACGTACCTTGTGTAAAAGTTTTTTGCTTTAGCTTAGTTAGGGCTAAACTATATGGTATTCAATACCATCAATAAATAAACTGACAATGTTATTCTACAATATAAAGTTAGATCTTTTTAAAAACTTTGAATGTTATTGTACAAAATGTCTACTAAAGTATATTTACATCCACCTTTTGTTAATATTTGTTGAAATGAAGTGTGTACGCATGCAGATTTAGATAGTAAGTTGCATGTACATTTTGAGGACAGACAAAAACTGGGTATTATTATGAGATATATACAAATACCTTAATTTTATGGAAAAATCAGACCACTCCCATACACAAAAGCTATTTTTAACAACCTTCTGTAAAAAAAAGAGGAACTTGGTTTTTATATTACTGTATTTGTATCTATGGCAAAGCTAGCATTAAGGCTATCTTCTGCTGTCCCTAATTTTGAAGTACTGATTAGAGGGAAGACAGCCAGTCAGTAGCACCTTATCACTCCTGCTAAGTGATTGGAATTGAATGTCACTCTTATAATGCACCCATAGCTTAGAATATTTTGTGGTATTGCATGGATTCCAGCCCTGCTCACTAGTTCCATAATCTAGAGCACTACCACAAGGCCAACTGCACAAGGACAAAAAAGGAGACTAAAACACTTGGACTAAAACAAAAAATTAAATCTTAATTTAACTCAGGATTATCATTACTTATAAATATTTATTTTATGAAATACACTTACATAGTTTAAGATGATTGTTATTTTCATTTTATTTCTAAACACTTTTGCTGAAATATAAATATATTGCTCTTAATAAGTTTAAATTCAGTAAATAACTCTTTTAACAAACAGAAAAAAAAACAACTGTGTGAGAAATTAGTTAAGCGTTAGTTGAACAACAAAGAGTCTCCATCATCAAAAGAGGCTAATGTTACCTGAACACAAACAAGTATATGCAATCCCTATCTTCAACCACAGAAAAACATAATTTTATATGTTTTGTTAAGCAGCCTTTAAGTGCATATATTAGAATCTATTTCTTTGTATTAGGCTACAGGGATCAAGTAAGAGCAGTGATATTGATGAAATATTTCTTTATATAATTTTAATGATAATAAAAATAACTTTTAAACATAATTCATATGCTGCACAATAAAGTAATATTTGATTGGAATTGTGAGCAAACAAAATAATTTTTACTTGTATAATCATAGGAGCAAAAATGCATGTACATGAATTACACTCCATTTTACTAAATAAAGGTCTGCATAAATGTCTGGAAAAAGTATAATTAAAAATGTTACCAATCGGTAGTCCCAGAATATGGTTCGGTGATGGAAGAGCAAATCTAAACCTTCTTGTGTCATGGCTGATAATCTAATAGTAAAAATATGTTGATATTTACTTCAAGGACTCAATTACTAATTATTAGATAACAAAAAAATTAGGATGCAAGTTTGAGCTTTAAAAGCATTTGAATTTTGAAAGGCCATCAAATTATATTTGGCTACTCAGATTTATAGTAAAATAATTTATAACTCTTCAAAATGATGACATTTCAGGCCAATTTGAAAGATGAAGACACTATACTTTCATACTACAACCACAAATCACTCAGTAAATATAATTACAATAATTTTAAATAAAAAGCTTATCCATTATTTGGAGTAAACCTTGGAAATAAGTTTCTAGTATAATGACATTATTTAATAATTACATTTTGCTAGACCCAACTATAATTACGTGTATTAATTGTTCTTTTTGGTAAAAAAAAAGCTCACTGACACCAAAGAAAAATTTTAAACAATAACACATATATGTAATAAGGACACAAGCAATTAAAGTCATTAAAAATTATTTGTTGCTAAGCAAAAAGTTACAAAATGGGCTTTCTGTGTTGTGCCCACTACAGGTATCAATACCTGGTTTTTGGTGACATAAGTCTTCACACTTACTGATGAGCCACTAGAGGTGTGGAGGTGGGGTGTTATTAAAATAATACATTTGATAAGAACATTTATTTTTGCTAACAGTTGCAGTGTGCCAAAAGTGATTTCAATATTAAATTTCAACTCATTTCAAAAATTTACTTTAATTAAACTTTTTTTGTACTGAGAAGTCAGTTATTTTTTTCTGTAAACATCGTGAAACAAGAATCTATAATTAAATGCTTTCTAAACTTTTTGAAGCCCGGAGAATATATTATTTAGCTTTTTCTTAATGAGTTACAATGAAACTTTGTTGCCTCCAGACATTTTATTATGAACAAATTACAGTAAATCCAATATATATTTTATCAAACAAAAAAGAAGTTTGTATACATACATTTGCAACTACACAAACACATTTAATACAATTTAAAAATAAAATTACACTTAGTAATGTTGATCCTTTTTACTCTCCATTTTAAGATTTACTTTTTGTTTAAAATATGAAATTCTACATCTTTATGAAAAATTACAATTGCATATATATATATATTTCACATAAAGGCCTAGTTATTGTTGCTAGGAAATGTAAAGAGCTTGGCAGCCTCAATCTTGTTTTCTTTTATAAATGCAATAAAACATTTTTTCTTTTTTTTTAAAACTTAGAAATATGAACTTAAAAATACTCAGTTTTTTAACTTTACTTTGTTGCATAATAAAATAAGGCTTAAAGAAATAAACAACAGCTTAATTAAAACAGAGGAGTAACAGAACATTATGTACTAGCTACAAATTCCAAAATTAAGACATTAAAATTTAGAAATGGTAGTCAACACAACATATATAACCACTACAAAACTGGAGCCTACCCCTAGGATACATTAATTGTAGCCAAGTCAAAAACAAAAAACTCTGTGTGGAGATGTAGGAACATGATGTTAGTGCACACTGTAGATTCTACAGCACAATACACACACAGAATATTGTACAGTAGGCCTTATGATCAACACAGCAAAAGAGTTAATTTCATCTTTACAAGAAAGGGAGGGGAAAAGATGTCTTGTATAAAAGTATTAAACAACTTTTAGAATGACAGAGCCAAAGTAATTAAACACAAAACAAATACAGAGTAGGCTCAACTGCATTCGTTAGTGTATTTCCACAATAAACAAATTAAGATGGATTATAATGACCAAAATTTAAGTAAAAGTATTTAATTTGTTACAAAATTTACAGATGTTTTATGGGTGCACTGAAAAAAAAAGAAAGAATTTCAATAATTCTAATTTGCTTTTCTTTCCAGAGTGATTTGCTCTAGTACTACAGAAAACTGAACACATGGTTAAATGCCCAAATATTCTCACCTCTTTGTCCACTAGCTTGATCCTGTACTTGGCAGTTGAGTCTTGCAGTAATTTTGGAGGTCCTTGTTTGCGGCCAAAAATGTATTTGATTATAACCACTGTCACTACTACTACTCCAGCACCAATCAAAACAGGAACTGACTTACAAAAATAATAGTACATTAGTATTTTCTAGTGCTAACAGTTTCAATATTATCAAAATATTTCATCACATGCAAAGAATATAAAGTTAGAGGTAAAGAAATACAATCATAAAAAAAATATATAGCAAGAAATTTATTATTCGCATATTAACACAAGTCAGATATATTACAACAGTTGAACAATTAGTATAACACAGTTTCATGTTAATCTTTCTATGATAAGAAGAACAATGGGAATTACAAAAACAGCCAAAGTAAAGACAAACAAAGTGGTTAGAAGAAATATAACAGGACTGGCAGGAACTTTTAATCCATAAGTGTTACTACTACAGGTGCAATTCATGCTGAAAAAAAAAATTAAGTTAAGCTGGCACTAAAAAATGGGGGGGAAAAAAAGAAATAAATCAAGTCATATTAAAATCAATGTTTACCTTTACAAGACTGAAAAAAGCCATGATGAAGAAGCTTATGAAAGATTACAGGAAACTCTCCCACTTGTTGAACGACTAAGCACAAACAGACAGAACAACAGTTATATGATAACAAACGTCTAAGAAGAAACAATACCATGAGAACTATTTACCACAAAGTTAAGAATCTGCTAACCATATGGGTCACTGGCCCTGAAAACAATGACTGTGTAACTGGTTTGAGCTGTTTTCCTGAAAAACTTTATTAATTAATGCTTTAGCAAATACAGTTAAATGAATACAAAAAGTTAACAAAGCGGATTCATCTTAGTGGTCTTATATGTTTAAAATATATTTGTGAATAACAAAATACAAAATATTTGTTTTTTTCAATAAAGAACCTATAATGTATGTAAAATATATTTTAAAACTATACAGCTTGCTACCTTTAGATTTCACACTATAAATACTAAAACGTAACACCTTTCATAAAACTGGTTGTTAAATAATTTATTAGCAGTTTATATTTTAGCTCTAATTTTCAGAAGGCCAACTATGAAGTCACAAGACAAGTTTTATAATTAGTGAACTGGGATAATGAGTGTAAAAAAAACGTGATGTGTAACAAACTTGGGAAATTTTAAAAAATAAATTGCTGTATATTTAAGACAGGCATTTTCCTAGAAAGACAAAACTGGATTGTAAAGTGGTTGAAAAGGTTGTTATTAATAGAATCCAGTCAAACTGGACCTTTATTATTAGTGGAGTAAACTTTGCTAATGATGTTAACTCTGGAGTGTTTCTAGTTGCATGAAGAATGTTGAGGTATTACAGAATGACTTAGATAAAAAATTACATTATCATTAGTTCTTTCTGCAGATGTGAGCATTTATCATGTAATCATCTTATGTATATTGCGAACCACGGTGTCTGTCTGAGCATTAGTCTGTCTCTTGTTTTCGGTGGTCACTTTCCGTGCTGCATTTAAAAAGCTGTGTACGCAGACAAAGCTCAACATTCACTTTTGAAATGTTGGGAAAACAGGTATGAATAATGTTAATGCCAAATTTTATTTTGCAAGCACAATATTCTACAATAAATTATTAGGAATTAATCCCACTATCATCCACATTTCAAAATTTGACGTAACTTAAAAATAAAAATGTAGATTTACTGTACATTATTGTTGAGCAGCTCTTATCATAACTGAAATGTTCAACAAATATTTTTAACAGTGGGTGGTATAAGTAGCTCAGAGCTCTGGTTCTGAGTGAAACCAAGAGTGCAACAAAATTAATCTTTTTAAAGTTCATAAAAAAATGTAAATTGCTAGAATAACTTAAAGTTTTCCCATCACTGGGAGTGGGTACTTTTACTTGTTACATATATTTCCCTACACACATATTACATTACATATAACTTCTATCAGTAATCTATATAAATATAGTCAATATGTGTATCTGTTCCTTATACATTTCTTGATTAATCAGCACCAAACTTGACACTGATACAGGATGACATGAGGAAGGTCATAAGGGTGGGGGGATTGGATCCCCCATCTAATTTCATAATGAGTGAATTCTTGAAAACAGCGTGTCTTTCTTTTCAGTATTGGTACCTTTATATATTTTTATTGCACTTTTAATGTTTATTATGTTAAATAAAAAAAAATAAAAAATAGAAGCACAGTTTCCTATCCTTTGTTACAAACAAGTTTATATTTCACCTGTCTAATGAACGGGTATTCCAGCTAGCAACTTATATTTTCTCTTTGTATTTTATGCAATCATCTTAGCTAAGCTTGAACTACAGTGTACAATGTAACATGTTATTGGTTGTACACGTTTATTGGTGATTGGCTTACACATAATGTTATGTTAATAACTGTAAACATGTGACATCAACATATGCTGTACTGCAGTCTATAAATATTTAACTGCCAAGTTAAGAAGAGAGGTAGATGGGGTTAGTAGTGTTTGTTATTATCATTTCTGAAGGCAGTACCACGTAAGTTCTAATGTACTGGTGCCTAGTTGGACTTGCCACTCAGCATATGGATGCCACTTGTCCTGTACTTCATTAGATATCCATGTTAGGGGTTGCCATCATATACTGCTGATACTGATTGGAAAATCTGGTACTATGCAATGCAAATTTTACCACTGTGATGCAATACTACTAGGATTAAATTCAACTATCACCAGGTCCCCAATTTTAGCATCATGAACTATTAATATTTCAATAAAGTGATAAGATAAAAGCACTTAATTTGTTAATAATACAAATTAGTTTTTGCTATTACCATGATACTGAGATGTTGCTAATTTCAATTATGTTTGTAATGGAAAGCATAGAAAGGCTAGGAATAATAAAATTTGCTTGCCAGAACATTACAGAGCATACTGATAATTCTGTTGCTGATACCAAGGGGCATTCTCTTGTAATGCATGAACATGTAGGAATGAATAAATCAGAGGAGCTGCTTAAAAAAGTATAAAGGTCTCTTTTATAGGTTTAGAGATAGAAACAAATTTTGGGAGTGTTTCCTTGGGTTGGAAGTGGAATGAATTACTTAGCAATATCCAAAGCTTAAATGAAAGATTATCAAAGATATTTTTAAAGCAACAGGTATGTTGGCTGGACAAGTGGAATAGTTTTCAGGGCAAGGGTAAATTATGTGTTATAGATGGGCTCCACTATAGCAAGTTAAAGGGTAAATTATGTGTTATAGATGGGCTCCACTATAGCAAGTTAAAGGGTAAATTATGTGTTATAGATGGGCTCCACTATAGCAAGTTAAAGGGTAAATTATGTGTTATAGATGGGCTCCACTATAGCAAGTTAAAGGGTAAATTATGTGTTATAGATGGGCTCCACTATAGCAAGTTGATAACATTGTTTGTGGAAGGTCTAAGTAAATTCATTAAAGACAGTTTAAAGTAAAATTTACATAATGATGAGGTACCTGAAGAAGACAGACCAATATTCCTGTTGAAACATGCAGTATTTTTTCTCAAACATAAAACACTTCATTATGCTTATAAATTGTCATTTGCCAATTTATTGTTACCTACAGACAATAAAGGACCATTTGGCCCTTCAATGCCATCCTTGCTCTATCATCCACCCTTGAGAAAAAGTAAAACCTTAAACCCACCCTTTATGTTTCAGGAAATTGACTGCATATCTTAAACTATTGTAAAGTGCTAGCCTACACCACTTTTGACGACAACTAATTCTGTAAGTCAACCACTCTGTTAGAAAAATAAAGCTGCATTAACTGTACCCCAGCCTATCTTTTCCAAACCTTGAACTTGTGTCCTCTCATCCTGTTATCTTGAGAATACAGCAACAGAAAAATTAGAAGCTGTTATCTTATTGAATACCCAGATAATCTTGTAAGCTTCAACGTGCTTAGATCATTCCTTACCCTTCTTTTCTCAAGAGAAAACATTTAATAGATTTTAACTTGTTATTGTAAGATAACCTTGCTATTCCTGGATTCATCCTAGTCCCTCTCCTTAACCATTTCCAATAAGTCAATATCCTATTTTAGATAAGGAGGACAAAATTGTACACAGTATTTCACATGTGGTCTAACTACTGATTTATCCATAGATATTTACCTTCTTTGACTTTTAATCAGTATGTTTACCAATATACCCTAAAGTTTTATTGGCTGTACTCCTAAGAACAGAGCCAAGTGTGTTGGCTTGAGTAACTTATCCACCAATATAACAAGATCCTTTTCTCCTTGGTTATATAACTGAGTTGTTTCCCATATTTGTGGGATACAAGTTATTATAACCCAAATTCATTATCTTTCACTTGCTATAATTAAAGGTCATTTGCCAAATACTTGTCTAACATATCAATTGATCCAAGTCACTTTGCTGCACCTCAACATCTTCAATATAGCTAGAAATACCCAAGAGTTTAACGTTGTTAGCAAATTTTAGTAATTATGCCTCCATCAATATCATTAGTATTAATAAATAAAAGCAATGTTCCAATTCTACTGGACTCTATTAATAACAATATTTTGCTTTCTGACATCCAATCACTCTACAGTTCAATTAACCAGTCTTTCCACAGCCCCTACTGATGTGATTTTATTAGATAATGTTTTATGTTGCACCTTATCAAAATCTTTTCAAAAATCTAAGTACACCATTTCTGCACCCTTAGCTTCATTTAGGTAACAAGAAATATCCTAAAAAAGTTAAAAGATTAGTAAGGTGAATCAGTGTCTATATTAATGGTATCATATTTCACAAAAGCATTTTATATGTCTTCTTTTATAATACTCCAGAGCAACTCTTCCTTATAAAAATACATAGGAGCAATATAAGCAACTCTCCAAGCTTTGACCAGTTGTCCACTGTCTATTAACCTATAAAAGATGAAAGCTCGCATATCTTATCTCCCATCTCCTTTAAAACTGTAGAATATTGATGATATCTTCCTTTAGATAAGAAAGCATTTAAAAGGTCAACCATCTCATAGTCTTCAACAAAAATCTTGTCATCAGCATCATTTTAAAACTCAATCTTCATTTTAATATTTTTCTTACCTTTAACATGATTAAAATAATTCTTGTTTTAAGTTCTAACATTATCCAACTGATGGAACAATACATTGCAATCTTTAAAAGCAAGAAGAGCATATTTAAAGAGCTATACTCACTATAAGGTTGATTTTTAGTTATGATTAATATAGGTAGATTGCTTTAATCAGAAGCTAATACTAATAATCAGACAACTGTTTCTCATACACCATTTTCAATTTCCTATTTCATTTTAATTTATCTCTAGGATTCCTCTGATTCTGAAAATCATCCAAACTGTCTTTAGTAATCCAGTTACCTTAACGATGGGCAATACAATCAGAGAAGTGATGAATAAAACATATTTAACAGACATTTTGGAATACATACAATCCATCTTTAGGAAATACCTTCTGAAGACACAAAACTATAATTACAAATAATAACCTGAAAGTCAAACACAAGTTTATGTACTATGATAAAAATTTGTAGTTTGATGATATATCAAAACCTTGATAAGTGTTTAATCTAAACTGGTCCTTTATAAAAG